ACCACACAAACAAGGATAGCCAAAATAAGCGCTAAAATCAACCAGCATGGTGTAACCATCAGAAATAGGATCGAAAAGGCAGAGGCGATAGCTATGACTGAACTAAAGAAGGCGGAATCTAGTCAAAACGGACAGGGAACGTCACGCCAACACGTTGAAATGATGACAGATCTTTTAGCTAAAGGTTTGATTTCATTACATATATATAGGTATGAGTTTACATCCTTCTAGCTTGCAAGAGTGCATAAACAGAAACTATCATAAAATTGGATATCTATGTTAAAATTTTCATTTTTGCGACAAGCTTTCAAGCGAAATTAAAATTTGAGGACGATTCATTACAACACATGTCGGGTATTAAGAATTAGAAATGTATCTCTCAAATTATATCATATTTCACCTTTCAGTGGACACTGTCCGATCCAACATGCAACAGATGAAGGAGATTACTGGCAGTACGGATGTCCAGCCCTGTGTGTCAGTGCAGAAGGAGGCAACAAACCTCCGCAACAACATAGCAGAACTCCGCAAAAAAATCGATAGGGCTCGCGCCATCACCTCGGCACTACCTGTACGTAATACACCTCTGCCTGCTTTGTCAAAAGCTCACAATTCTTTGTCACGTACAAATGTAGGTCACAATACTCTGTAATATAGTTCACAAATATATCACGTAGATCACAAAACTCTGTCACAAAATAGCGCACAATATTCTGCGTGCAACTCGCTAAGGATAGATGAGAATATAAGTCTAGTGTCAGTGATATAGTTAGGGCTACTAAAATACTATAATGTTTATAAGCATTTGTAACAACGCTTACTATCACGAAAGGACACTTCATATATATTTCATGTATTGATCAAGGTAACATGGCCATTGGTTTACTTTTTTTGTACATTTTAAATATCACCAGGACATTTAACCATGTTTTTTGTGGTTTTGCATGGTACAAACCAACTTTGTGTCCGGCCAGTAACCGCAAAAAGCTTTTACGAGGGAATATGTGTTGGGGATGAATAATAAATGAACTTAACATTGGTAATTTGTGTACTGCTTGCTTATGTTATATTATAATAAAAAAACCAAACAAAAAAACCCCGGTAAGAGGGTAATGTTGAGGAGCCTTTGTAATGAAGATATTAACCACAAGTATTGCCTTCTAATAAACTAGGGCACTTCGGTACATATCATTAAATATATATCTAAATCATGGAAATTTCAATGTTTAATGGGGTTTTAACCATGAGTTAGATGATTAAAGTCATCATGGAATTTTATTGCGGGGGCTTGTTGAACCTTTAGCAATTAGGCATTTCCGGCGGATAAAAGATACTTATATATATGAATTTCATAACAGATGTGAGGTTACATCCCCAGCGGACATCCTCATTAGCGTTCAAACAAAAATATCTATAGGCCTGTCATCACGGTTACATAGTGACGATGATATCCCTCACAGGTTTCCGTAGCAATGGTAGACGGATGGGAATATCAACTCGAGGTGCCATCGACAGGTGAAACGGAATCTCCGGTGACGTCACTTGAGGTGTGCGTTAAGCCTGAAAGGTCGGCAATGACGGTAGCGAATTTCCATGGTAACGGAACAGTAAGTAGTTTAACACACCAACCTACTAACTAATCTATCATCGTTTGACATTTAGAAATGATCTATTTTGGTTTGACGTCTGATAACTGTTACAGTGTGTTGAGAACATTGTACATGGTTTTATTTTTTGAAAAGTATTATATAAGATCACATCATCTTACTCGTACACAAACCGATGAAGGAATGTTATAGTTATTGTGTTTAACGAGTAAGTTAAGCATAAACATGAAAAATTCAAAATAAGGACCACAAAGTTTATAAAATAAAAATAAACATTCAAAGATTAAGAACATGACAAGGAAAATTCAGCCAAACACCCCCAGTTTAGTTGCTTCGTCTTCAATACATAAGGGGAGGTAATCCAAGTCAAAATTATCCTATCACGAACTCTTCTTATTTGCAATTTCAACTGATTCAGAGGTAAATCTACTCTTCAGCATAAAATAAATGACTTTTGGAATATTGCTTTAGTTGTTTGTTTCTAGTACTGAAATCAGTATGGTTTTCAACCAAATCTGCTTTGTTTTATAAACGCCAAGTTCGATCGGTGTAGTTGTGCCGTGGACCTTGTTACTCGATAATACTGAATGCTTTTGATTTTGTGTGTCTATACCTGGCTGCTGACAGTTGTACAGGTTAAAATGTATGTTGAATTCAAATGACAATAGAGACCATACCACATACCTTTAAACTAGGGTTGTCAACGGTTAACCGGTAACTCGGTCGGTAGATGTTTCGAGTAAACGGTTTACTTAATTTCATTCGGTGTGACGACCCTAATTTAAACATTAACTCATTAATCCTTGAAGACACATTT